CTGCAAAGAATAATCATCATAAATGCTGATGATAAAATCGCATGTGTGCTTTAAATTGCTTTGGAGTACAGTCACTTATCATAGCGATATGGATTTTATAAATTAGAAGTGGTGCACAAAATATAATTATGCATCTACTTTCAGTTTCTGACAATGCTCATTAAGTCCAAGTCAACCAAATTCCATGAAGACTGTAATGACATCATGATTAAACAAAAAAAGAATTCAATATGCAGAAGAAATGTGTAATAAGATTTATAACAACTGATTAACACACCCATTCAACAAGCTATCATAAATGGTGTATTTAAAGTTGTTATATGAATAATATATTTACTCAGTATAAATGATTGACAAGTTAGGTAATTTAGACTGATTAACAATTTGCCTTTTGGGGGGGGGCCTTGCATTTGTTGCTGGAAATGATAATTCCATAAATTGATTCTCATACACTCACATCCAAGAAATGATAAGCTCCTATTGAACAAATTTGAGTAAAGCTGTTACTGAATACAAATCTGGATGTTTATAAACATATAACACAAAAACGAATTTAACTAAATGATTTTTTTATATATATTATTGATTTTGGGGTGGGGGGAGCAAGTGGGATTAAATCCAGAATCCCAACATTATAAGCTCATAACCTTATCCTACCACAACTTTCAAGCACAGAAGGTAAATTTATAACATAACAAAGTTAAGGTCCACTGGACAAAAGGGTTACATATGTTTATTTTCTGTCTATTTTCCACTGACCCCATTTTAATTGAAATATATACTTGATCAACAACAGATATAAAGCTCCACATATTATTCTTCCACAGTAACACTAAAATTAGTTTTGAAATATTTAAATTTGGTTTCATAATACTAGTTCTCATGTGTGCCTGAATACGTTCTTTCACTCCACTACACTATGTCCACCAATGGAACACATTTTCATGCTTGTTAGTCTGCTATGGCCTGTGCAAGTCTTATACATGCGTCAGTTTATGAGATGTCACATTAGTGAACAGAAGTGGCACAAATATCACTTGACTGTATTTTTTGGTTTCTTGTTCTGAATGACAAAATACAATAAATACGAATGAAGGCTCCTATAATCCAGAGTTCCCTTTATTTAAATGCTAATTTGTTATGAACTGCAAAAAATATTATCTCCCCGTTCCCAATAGCACAAGGACTTCTATGTCGCATGCAATATACAGATAATCACAAATAGTTGTGCGACAAAATTTTTTATCCCTCAAAAAACACGAACTGTGTAAGATATGCAAATAGCTCTAGAAATAAATATGTACTCCTCACCCAAGCGTCTAGCTATATACATTTTGAACAATATTACAGGAACTCTTATAACCTAGAATATTATAAATAGTTTCGGCCTGAGACGAAAACTATTCAGAACTCGGTGAACTAAATTAAGGGAATTGCTGAAATGCTGTTAAGAGTATGAATTATTGTAGATGACAGCCATATTGAACTTTATTGCGCAACAACTTTTCCAGAAATTACGATTCAAAGTGCAACAGCTTCCACTGTCTGCTTAAAATGGATAATGCGAACAATCTGTGCTAATCATAAACGGCAAATTCTTGAATGGCGATGTCAGGACCTACTTAATTCCGAAATGCTAATTTCGTCGTCTCAGAGCAATCCACACTTCACATTCTATTACGTCACCAGACTCCATCATTAAAATGTCTCATTCATTAATTTCTATAAATAATAAAATTAATCATCTTACCTTTGTTTTCTCTTTCGCTGCCAGATACTGAACATCTCATCCAAAAAAAAATTACTACTAAATTACCAGCTCCAAACACATCCTTCTAACGGTCTCCATGAAGTCGAACTGGAGTTAGAGGTTTTCCATCCTAATGCATTATGGTCCCGACGCCATCCTAATGCATTGTGGTCCTGACGTCATTACTTACTTCCTCACGGATTGGTCCACCAATTAGAGTACTTTCACAAAACTAAAAATGGTATTTCATAAAAGTCAATCCAGAGGCATATTAAAACAAAAATATCACCACCCCCCCCCCCGACTTTCTCTGGGGAAAAGCTACACTTCTTCAAAGCTACTGCGATTTTTCCTTATGCACAATGATAATGGGATAAGATTAATATTAAACCTTGATCTTCTATCTTATATGGCCAAATGACTTGTGGACACCACCTAATGCAGATGGCAGCTACTCTCACACTGAAGACCAATGCCCTGACATTTTGAAACACAACTTAGTTTAAAAGAGTTCACCAGTTTATTTCCTTTACACCTTACACGTCCATAATCAGATCTATGTGACAGTAAAAATTAAATACAAAAGTCCATTATATTGTCTGTCTGTCTGTCTGTACCTAGTATATGAGATGCAGTAATAACACACGAAGACACACAACTTGTATGCTTTGCTGAAGACTGCCTACACATTTGAGTTTACTGACATATGGACTAAAGTAGTCACAAAGCAACGCCTTTGGACAGCTTCCTAAACCACTGATTGCAATATGATAAATTATTTAGAATACCGTGGTTAATTTGATACTCATGAAAGTTTTGAAACATGAATCTGTTCATACTTCCAGGCCACAGGTTGTCTTTCTACTAAAAACTTTTAAAATACCTTCTTTCTTATGGCAGTGACTTAGTTTGAACACAGAACCTTCAAAATACAACTTTAATATATTCAGAAGTAGATCAAGGGTATTAAAGAAATTTTTTTTCCACATTCATATTCAGTTTTGAATACAGCTATGATCTACATATAAGGAATTTAAAAATCAACAAACGTAGAGAAAACGTCTTCACAATAAATGTATTCACAAGCAAATAACAAAATCCCAAGATTGAGAGAAGATTAGATATGGTTATGTCCAAGGTTTCATTCTATTCATGAAAACAGGTGACAGCTGCCCTTCAGAGTCACTACACTTGATTAATGAGGTACCATTTAGTCACTGCCTTCGAGAAAAATAAACTGGCCTTATTACAACTAGTGCCTGAAACAATAGATATATCATATAAACAAAATGTAACAGATGTCTTATGAAATCATAGCATCATAACACAACCTTTGGACTGTCCCAAGCCATTGCTACATCTGAAAATACCCTATGATACACAGTTCTCTCTCTTAGTTACAAACCTATAAATACATACAAGTATTATGATGCATCACATGGAATCTCCTAATTGTTTACATGCTGACAAACACTGGCAGCTGATATGGTGCATTTATTAATCCAGTCAGTCAATCTACTTGCACATCTTGTACCCAAACACACACACAACATGGAGATAACAGTAAAAATTTCCTAATTAAAATTATTCCTGTGTAATGTCACTTCCTGGTAACTTAAAAAATTGAATTTTAACACAAAATGCAGAAAAGAAATATTCATTTAAACATGGTGTGATGGTAGTGACATAACAACAGAAAGTATGTAGTGAGAAAAGAGCATATAGGCAGTTGCAATGTTTCCAGCAAAAAGCATGCAGATTCCTCCCATGACATCACAGAGAGCTGCCAAGATGACGTGGGCATTGCAACATTCTTAATGGACATCAAAATAATAACAGCACTTTTTGAAGCAAAATGACTATGATGTATTAGAAAATCAACAGTACAGCAGGATAGAGGCTTTGCTGAGCAGGCTCGGCCGAAAACTGCAAACTATCACTTCCACATGAAAAAGTTCTCCCTTGGTAGTATCACTTTTACACATAAACATTTACATCAGACTAATGACAGAACAAAAAACCACTCAGTGTCTCATCACAAAGTGAGCAGTGTCAGTTATTGCGACAGGCTGTGTATTGTCAGGGTACACTGTATCGGAGCCAAGCTGTGGTACATGGAAGGCACCAGGTGATCGATCGTCATTTCATCTTCGTTCAAGTTGAGTAAAGAAACGTATGTGCACATCATCTTTCATGTGGTAAAACAATCCGTGTTACGGAGGCACATATGGTGGTGGTTTTCGGTATGTGGGGGTTGGTTTGGGGCGGTTCTGCCTGCCTGAATCGCGGCTGCTAGTGAAAGGTGGTGGAGGTTGGTATGGGGGATCCTCAGAGGCAGCATTTTCACCAAGAAGGGGATGTGCAGCCATGAGGGGTGAGGCAGGGTGCTCTGGCTCACCACGCTGATATTCAGGTGGTGGCAAGGGTGGTTTTTCCTCCTTCATGATGAT